CGCATCTTAAACTGGACGACGCGCAATTTGTTCAACAGTTTCCAGATTGTGACAGGAGATAAACAAGACCCAAGTCAAGGTAAGTTTTGTTAAAGTGTCGATTGCGTTCCCTATATTACGAAAACAATTCAGGCAACAGACTAATATCTTCTGTGGTGTTGTGGAATTTACATGTATACTGTGTCTGCGGAATTGTTGATTGAGGTTCGAAGCCAGCAGTTAACATTTTGTTAGAAAGTTTCACAATTAAATCAAATAGCCAATGATACCAGTATATTTATTTCATTATTTTAACAACTTGCAATGGTGGAAGGTGGTCAAACACGTGTTCTTACACCTAAATAAGTAACAAATATTTGTCGACACATTTAGTCTCTCAATTTAACAACCTTGTAGAAGTGGAAATTAATTAAACAGGTATTTACTCACAATTATAATGGTCAATATTTGTCCATACCTTCATTCTGTCAATTTAAGAACTTGTAATTGTTGGAATTAATCAAATGAGAGTTGTCTACACCAAAATAAGTTTCAAATACTTGTCCATACATTTATTCTGTCAATTTAACAACTTGTAATGGTGTAAAATTATTAAATGAGAGTTGTCTACACCAAAATAAGTCACAAATATTTGTCCATACATTTATTCTCTCAATTTAACAATTTGTAATTTGTGAAAGTAAATTAAAATCAAACACGAGTTGTTTACACCAAAATAAGTCTCAAATATTAGTCCATACATTTATTCTCTCAATTTAACAACTTGTAATTGTGGGAATTAATCAAACGAGAGCTGTCTACACCAAAATAAGTCTAAAATATTTGTCCGCACACTTATTCTCTCAATTTAACAACTTGTAATTGTGGGTATTTATCAAACGAGAGCTGTCTACACCAAAATAAGTCTAAAATATTTGTCCGCACACTTATTCTCTCAATTTAACAACTTGTAATGGTGTAAAATAATCAAACGAGAGCTGTCTACACCAAAATAAGTCTAATATATTTGTCCGCACATTTATTCTTTCAATTTAACAACCTGTAATTGTGGGAATTAATCAAACGTGAGTTGTTTACACCAAACTAAGTATTAAATATTTGTTGAGACATTTATTCTCTCAATTTAACAACTTGTAATGGTGTAAAATAATTAAACGAGAGTTATCTACACCAAAATTAATCTCAAATATTTGTCCACACATTTATTGTCACAATTTAACCACTTGTTAATTGTGAAAATTACTTAAACGCGACTTGTTTAATCAGTTGACATCAATGCAACTTACCCGCAGACAGTGCACAACAGAGTATCATTATTGAGCAATTATTAACAGGAACGTGTCTTGGCATTAGGGTTAGGGTCGGGTCAGGTATGGGCAACGCAAATGGCAAACACCCAATTGGCAAGATGTACACTAACGGGTTATGGCATGCATATAGTTTACACAAGTAAAAACACAAAATTGGCAATTTTTTGGACAATTGTAACTCAATAATAGAAATATGTTGTATTTCTATATATATATACATATACACACTATATAGTCTTAACAAATGCAAACACATCCAGTCAATCAATTGTGGTCTTGTGGTTCAGTTGTCTACACAGTGACCTGGAGGACCCAGGTTCAATTCCCATGCCAGACACTAATTTGCAATAAAGCTAAATATGAAAACAAATCATTCATTTGCACGACTACCCACATGATTCAGTGGATATGTACAATGTAGGCAATGTGAGAGATCGCTGATTCGAATCCAGTACGGTTAGTACGTTTTTTGAATGCTAGTGAAGTAGGACTTAAATAAGTAGGACTTAAATCCTATCATTTCTGTGAAGACACTTGTGGTACAGTGGACAAGACAGTGCGCTGGCAACTCAAAGATTGCAAGTTTGAATCACCGACAGCACACTCTACAAGACAAGATATGAAAGAAAGAAAAACATAAACAACATAGAACACTAAGCCGGGGTATTTGAAACCGAAATTGTCATCTAAGCGTTAGGCCGTCGCTGTTTGGCTGCTGAGCTGGAATGCCAATTTTTAGTTTTAAATACCCCAGGAAAGTGTTCTAGGTTCTTCGCGTAATTAGATGTTTGTATGCAAGGGATTTTTCCACACAAAAACGACGAATTCGGCCGAATTTTGTTATCGGTTGGCTTAATATAACCCCAAACGGACCGTATTTTTGTGAAAGATTGGTATTTTTGTCCTGATTTGTAGGAATCTGAAAAACGCGTTTCACAACTTGTCTCTTATTTAGTTTTATGCGTCATTTAAGATGGCGGCCCCCATGTAGTAAATATCGTATTTATTTTAATATCACGTGTGCGCCAGCTGACTGTGCATATGGCTATGATTCCACAGCTACAACCTGCCAAGTTTCACTGATATCTGCTGCAGCTAGAATTTCTGAGAAAATGTTGGAGACGGACAAATAGACATTTGACATAACCTGAATTATAAAGTCTTCTTTTCAGGCTACGCCTGAACGGGGACTAAAAACAAGCTAATCAAACCTTTTAATCTTGGAATGGAAGTGACGATGGTTTCTTCTGTCTTCTATCTTCAACCAAAACCAAAGATTTCACGTTCCCGCTGAGGTCAAATGTGTTATTGTTTGATTGCGTGGTTAGTCGCTCCTCAAGTGAAATCCTTCCAGCCGATTGGCTATTTGCGAAGTTCATAGGTCACACTCTTGTTGGCGCCTTTTCCTAGTTATCTGTATCTTGAGATGCCCAATTTGAGAGAGCAGTTAACTATATTTTCCGAATTTATATGTTTCACAGTAACCAAAATAAGGTAGGAATCTTTGTAAGTTATCTTTCATTATTCTAGCCCACATAGATAAATGTAATACATTTTCTTCGTTGTCGAAGCATCACAAAATCAGTTCATCGCGACCACCGCCGATGTTCATCTTTGTTTGTGTTTATTCGTCATCTGTTGTACTCGTAATCGGCAATCGATTGTTGAACCATAGATGCTAAACTGCGTTTTCCTCACAACAACGAATATTACACTAAACACAGATTGAGAAAATCAAATTATTAGATCCAAGTTTTTGTATTTATTCAATCATTGTTGTTCGCAAACGGAAATGGTAATAATATTCAGAGAAATAAGAAAGAAGAGTGACCTGATTTTATTCCTACAGTACTTCAGTCTTTTGTTTTGAGCTAATTATTTTCATACACTCGCCTTTCACAGTGCTGACTGCCACTGACAGGGACGTGTTGAGGGGAAGGGCACTTAAGCCCCTCACCAACCCAAATAGTATTGTTTTGAGGACACCAACAGTTGTCTAGAATGGCATATAGAGTAGCGCTGTGTGTCATTTTTTATTTGTATTATTAGATTTTTTTTCAATATTATGAAAATGTTACCATAATGACAATACATCACATTGGCTGTTTTCAATAGTAGTGTTCATGCTATATTGGCTAAGATTTAAGCTGACTCATAGTTTGCATATCGTTATCGGATACATCCAAATGCAGTCACACGCAGAGGAAACAGTGTTTAGCACAAGCTAAGGAACGCCCAACTTATTAAGAATATACAAAATCTTCAGTCATTTTAACTGTGATTACCATTAGAGTATCTTGAAAGGTATACATGTTAGTTCTACTGTTACAACACAATACCAAACCAAGGTGCAGATTGCAGGATAACAAGAAGTAGCACAGATTCTCATCATTGGTTCATTTATCTGTAGATAATCTAACATTGATTGTCATGTCAGAAATAGCATACCAAAATGAATGGTTATGAATTTAATACCAAATATTCAATTGGGCACTTAGTCGAGCTAAGTGCATGTTCACGCACACTTTGTCAGACCATGCTAGGATCTGGACGAGCTAGATTTAATCCATATTTCTTAGCTCGTGTTCATGCATGTTTTCTATATATGGACTAAAGTATTTGATCTCTTAGCCCATGCTAAGGAGCTGTGTGGGAACATTACTAATATCTCAAGACAAAAACAGAAATGCAAATATAGAAAATGGCTGACTTCACTTGAAGTTTTCATTACATGGAAGTAAATTTCAAGTGAACACTTTTTATTTACAGAAACAAATTTTGATTTTATACAAAAAAAAAATACGATTTGAACTACGTAAAGGAGTATACCATGAAATCAAATGTAGCATTGTTGTTTCAATCAATGAGTCAGGCATCTTTTGACAACAGCCGTGATGATCAACTCAATTGCCATACATACATGTACATGTATGTATTGAAAAAATTGACTTTACTTTGCACTAAAATTGGTTTTCAGTAGAGAATATATGGAAATGGTGATAGAAAAAATGATAGAAAGCTAGACCCAGGTTCAAAGTTGTCCAAGGCCCATATGTAATTTTTCATTCTTGTATAATTATGCATAGTATACCAACAATAGTATAAACTTTTGATTGTGATTGTTATATTACAACCCCCAAACCATGTCTTGAGTTCACAGTCCACCATCTTGGACATGTTGGACTGTGCTGTTTTTCACTGATGGCAGGAGTGTCAACAACACATTGACACTTTCGTTCAGCGGCTATGCTATGTTTAAGTTTTGATGGATTATTTAAAAATGATATAAATTTACCTACATTTTGGAGTTGGTACCAAATTAAATAAAAAGAATTCTTGAACGAGCATTGCATCACACCTTCTCCTGCAGGCTACGTCATCCCACATCGATACATAACTCTCTTGACTAAAGGTCCGTGTTGAAATCTGTTCTTTTGTTGCAGCTTAAGCAAGCTGAGGGACATTTTTTAAAAGCACTACACCTATCAACAATAAACCCCCTAGACACATTATTTTAGTTCATCTCAATAGTAAAGATATTCTGTCAAAAATCAAAATAAAACACTGTGATAATACTAATGCAACTTTCATACAAAACCCAATAAAAAATCATCCTAAAATAACATACTAATACCCAATTGATTCTGGATTCATTTGCCTGACAAAAAACAAAAAAAGATTTTGCGATCAATATGCAAAGTAGAAAGTTGATGACTAGTAATAGTAGAGTAGGTCAAGATTTTAATGTTCGCTCGGCAAAATGGATGACACAATTCAGCATATATGATTGTACTTACAGCGACGAAAACAAATTTCAACAGCTTTTTTCAATTTTATTCAAAACCTTTTTTTGTCTCAGGTTCACTTATAATCATAATAGATTTTCATTATTGATCTGTCATATTTCTACAAGGGATCTGTTTCTCTCGATCTAATGCAACTCGTATACAACCTAGCAAGCGTCCTCCAGTGAAGACATACAAAATACATGCAGACTTGAACTACGTGGCATCTAGCTGCGTCCCCTTAAAATGTATGCACAGATCAACATGCACACAACAATGTTATAACTTCTGCCGGCCTGCAAAACTCTCCTCTCCTCCTCTTGAAGCACCCATAATTAAATGGATGAATAGCGTATTTCAATTTATCACATGATTTGTACATGTGTTATGTTCCCCTCTCCATCTCAAAGGCTCTCAACAAATTATGCTGACATTACAACTTTAAAACAAGTTATGATACTTTTTTTTTCAGATGACTACAATATTTGATCTTTGATGGAGGTGTATTAAGTTTACTATAATATCAATGGCAATGATTGGAATAGCATCTAATTGTGGGCAAGCAGTAAATCTGCAGCAGGTACAGAACATTATTATTATTATTTTAACATGTTATATTTGGCCATGAGTGCTACTCTTTCAAATGAAAGGATCCTTACTGACACCATAACATACATCGTCTTCATGGTTGTAACTACTGCAAGGTTTATTTTGAAGTACAGTTGTGAAGCACTGTGAGCAATTTAAATAGTCTATGAGTGAATAATACATGAATGATAAAAGACAATGAAGTGCTATTCAATCCCAATTAATTTCTAAAAATTCAATCGGGGAAATTGTTGGCTATCTGTTTAGTCGTAACTTAAGTTGCCAGCAAATTATTGAGCAAATTTAAGACTTATTGCAATAGCTATTGCTTTAGAACAAGATGTATGTGTTTGTGTTGTATTCTTGGAGCACTCCTCTTGAACCAGATATACATTTATTTGTTGTATTCTTGTATCATTATACTTGCATTCGAGCAACTTGTGTGTGATTCTATTATTTTAAAATGGTATATTAGATAATAAAAAAAATTCTAAAGATAATGATAGATATGTGATAAGAGGTCAACAGATGGTTTTACATGGATACCTTAATTCTTGTATTTCAGGAATGTATAGAGCAAGACTCTCCCCTGAGGTGTCAGAAAAGTCCTCAAGAAAACAAAAGGAATACTCCAATCACTAATTTTTTCAAGCCTTCGCCTAAAGATACAAAATCAGCGGAAAAGCCCAAGGATCTTTTTGGTTATTTTAGGAAATTAGACAAAACTCCAAATGGTAGTGAAAAATTGTCTGATAAAACACACTTGCAAGACGAAGAGATTCACAGGCTTGTGCCAAGCTGTTTATCTTACAATCTGAAGGCAAAAGATAAAGGGAAAAGGGAAACCCGAAAGGCGAAGAAAAAACTACCAGATACAAATAGCAGTGAACTACATGATGTAGCTCTCAGATCAATTGAAGACAGTGAAGAGATAGTTCAAAATGGTGTAGGGTTACGGAAATCAAATACGGTATCCATGTGTAGTGGGAGTGACACTATTGTGATGGTGCAGTTACAGAACCAGCTGGAAATTGATGTGAATAACATGGATCGAAAAAGAAAGATGCAGGATACTTTAGACTGCTCCATGGAAGAGTTTGCTGTTTTACAACCAGTTGCTAAATCTGCTAAATTAGAATATTCAAGTGATAACAGAAAAAGGAAATCAAAGAAGAAGAAAAAAGTAATACCTGACGGTGATGTGTATCATGGTAAGAGTAAACACAGAGGTGGTAAAAAGCGCAACGATATAAACATACTAAATAACAGTGATGTAGACACTGAAACATTGCAACTGGAAATAACAGCATTTGAGAAAATTGTTGCAGCTGACTCAATAAAAAATTCTGATGATGATTTAGATGATTACATCTATGATGATGATGATGATGACGGCGGCGGCAACGACGATGATGATGATGAGCAAAGCATGGCATCTACATGTACATTGTCTAAAGAAGGTGATGAAACTGAAGTTGTTAGCTATGAACAATTTCTTTCTGACACAATTGAAATGTCAAAGTCACAAGAAGAAAGTAATTCATCTGATCAAGAAGACTGTACAACAGCTAAAGAATGTATAAAGATTTGTGGTAAAATAATCACAACCAAAGCCATTGTGCATGGCCCTCCTTCTCCAGCTTGCTCCACTGAAAGACCTGCTTCCCCTGATGTGACATTTATAGACTCACCAGCAAGTATTAAACATCAGAGAAGACGAAAATCCAATGTTGTGATCGATATGAATGAATCAGACTTGAGTGTTGTTGTGTTGGGTGGATCTGAGGGAAGTAAACCAGAGAACAAGAAACCACTCCACAGTTTCTTCACAAAAACTCAGTTGCGTAAAACAAGTTCCTCTGAAGTGTCTCATTCTGTAAAAGACAAATCTGCGAAAGAGCCAGGTGATGTTCCGAGGAGGGAGAAATTATCCCAAAGTGAAAAAGATCTTGATGTGGTATGCGTCTCCCCAGAGATTGTTGAAGAGAACAGATGTGGCAAGATTGTTTATTGTGTCAAGAGTGAAAACGACGATACAAATATTGACATAGCTGCTAGGAAACGCTTCCAGGGACAGGTAATGAAAGGTACAATAACAGATCCAGATACAATCAATACAAGTAAAACATTGAATGAGAAAACTGAACTTGTATCAGTCTCTATCAAAAAAAGAAGCAGAGGGAGACCTTGTAAATTAGTCTCTGAAAATGACAATAATTTAAATAGGGCAAAGGATGTAACTAAGAGGAATAAAATGGTGACACGGACGAACCATAAAGAAATCCAGGATCCTTGTAATAAAGTTGGCAGTCGTAAAAGAGGACGCCCAAGGTCAAGTAAAAGTTCTGATTCGGATTTTGAGACTGAAAAGATTTCAAAGAGGTCAAAAAGGTCAATTTACAAGTCAACTGTTCTGGATGTAGGGTATAAAAGAGGCAGCCCACTCAGAATAAGACTTACCCGGTTAAAGAAAAGCTCATCAGGAAGCTCACCAGATTCTGCCAAGAAACCAACGACCAGGAAAACCAGTGTAAGTAATAAAAAACACATTTTTCTTACCTTTATGCAGTATTTTAATTGTTCAGAAAAGTAAAACATACATTATCGTACAAGCCCCTTGGCACCTATTGTTTTTGTTCAAGTTCTTCTTCTGTTGTGTTTTTTTTTTTTGCCCAAGAACTTGAACACTGTAGCTGCTACTAGGCTTCAGAAACTTCTCAAGCACTTTGGAGACTATGAGAATCTTTCTCTTAGAACTTCCCAACCTGCAACACAGTGTAATGTAATCTGTCGATGATGCTCATTAAAGTTTTCGAAGCACTTTGGCATTGGTCATGTGGTTTGGCTTTTAAATAACATGCACACATGGTTACTTGTACACAATATGGATGGATTTCAAGAGAATTCATGTATCTTGAAGTCAGAATATAAACTTCATATAAATATTTTTCACAGATATTGCAGCAGACACATGGGTTTCATCAACACAAAACTTGATCACTATGCCTATGTTCATCAAAATGTTGCAAATGAGCATTCATTTCCTTCAGACTTTTGATCTGGGACTCACTGCATAACTTCCGTCTTTATATAGGCGATCCTGAAAGCAGCCAAGGCTCAGGAGATACTACAGAAAGCAAAGACTACAAAACATAAAAAGGTTAAACCTGCTTCCAAACCCAAGATTATTTCTAAAAGTCTTAAGAAGTTGCCAGCAAAGAGTAAGAAGGCAGTGAATAAAAACACAAAAGTTATAAAAATTGAAGATTCACCAGAAGAAAGTAACAAGAGAACACCAGTTAGAAATATAAACTCTGTACTTGGGAAGAAATCCAAAGGGGAAGAAAAGACAGGTGTTGATAATGGTATGTACTATTATACGTAACATATATTGAAACATTTAGTCATGTCGTATATGGAATTTTTAGCAAACATGGTATCCATTCGCTACATACATGTACATATATAAAACTGCATTTCCAATGTTTCACTTTTGAAAACTTATATTTTTTTGGAGGATCTGAATCTATGATATTCAATTCACAACTAAGATGTTGTTAAATATGCAAAGTTCTCTAATACAGAATACAAGTACATATATTCTTGATTCGTCTTTTTTATTTGTTATGTATGTATGTGTGTTCAGAAAATATTATTTTGTAATGGGCCATTCCAGTTTATATCTGCACCCCCTGTTGATGAGCTTGTGTGTTTACTTCATACAGGGTATAATTTCCATGGGTGTATAAGTCATACAAAGTTTTATTTCCAAATCACCATTCACCATACAGTAATGGAAATTCAAAACTATAGTTCCTACTTATGGTGTTGATGAGTTCCATTGGGCCACCATACAGAGTAGGATTTCCAAATATAACTCTCATCATATGCTAATTTACCAAGTTCAAAATTTTTATATTTGATAATGGAAATCCAAACTAGTCCTGATTCACGGTGTTGATGAGCTCATTCGTGCCACCATCCTTATCTAATTTCAGTAATAACTATTTCATGCTGGCCCAATTTCTTTACCATATACAGTCAGAATTCCAAGTTTTTTAGTCATATTGTTGGAAATCCAACCTCAACCGGTATGTGGCGAGATAAACTAGGCCATATTTTGTTTCGTAACCATACTCCATACTCGTCTGGATTTCCAGATTCTGTTTCTTCATATACAGTTGGAATTCCGGGGTATTTTCCCCATCATACAGTGCTGGAAATCCGACCACATCAACATGGGGGGTGCAGATGTAAACTGGAATGGCCCAATGTTTGATTCTAATAAATTATAATAGTGCAACTACTCAGTGTTTTATCTACATTGTACATACCGATAGTAGGTATTACCAGAGGTATATTACTTGGGGTTTGCAACTACGGTGACATGATACCAAGATCCTGTTTAATCTCGCTCTTGCATAAGCGTTCCAACTCAGAAAAATGCGAATGCGCATGCCCTAGGTAACTAGAATACTCGGATGTCCAGGTGGATCAAAATAGCTGCTCACGATATGACGGATTACGATAACTATAATTTCTGTACATTTTCGATGTATTACATTTTTTCAATATGAATGTGGTAATACATGTTTTATTGTTTTATTACAAACTGCCTATATCATGTCAGAAGGTCGTAGCATCAGTCTCGCTATCTACGAGATGAGACTTGAATGGGATCTTGACATGATGTCACCATACAGTACTATGCACGTTGCAAACCCCAAGTAATGTACCTCTGGTATTACATATATTA